GGGGGGAGGGGACGTGGGTGGTTGGCCTGCCTGCCTGCTGGTCGAACTCCCGGTTGAGAGGACATTTGCATATTAACCTTTTATTATATAGGATATACACTGAGTGGCCAGATTATTATGCATTCAGATATCATAATAATCTGGCCACTCGGTGTACACACAGACACACACACACACACACACATCACGAATCTATCAGAAAGCCAATCAACCTCAGTGGACAGAAATACAATGTTGGCTATCTTGAATACTCATCTGCCATTCAAAAAAGAAAAATTAGCTAAAAACCTGTTTGACCTGCTAAAGACCTACTTACTTTGCTCAGCATAAGAAGGAAAATAAAGGCAATGGAATAGAAAAGGTAGAGGTGCCGGGACCGGTTTGGCTCAATGGATAGAGCGTTGGCTTGGGGACTGAAGGGTCCCAGGTTCGATTCCGGTCAAGGGCATGTACCTTGGTTGCGGGCATATCCCCAGTAGGGGGTGTGCAAGAGGCAGCTGATCGATGACTCTCTCTCATCAATGTATCTAACTCTCTATCTCTCTCCCTTCCTCTCTGTATAAAATATATTAAAAAAAAAAAAAAAAAAAAAAAAAAAAAAAAAAAAGAAAAGGTAGAGGCAGGCTGGAGATTGGTTCATTTTTAAATGGAGCAGGAGAAAATTCCTAGTAACATCACTGCATTTATGGAAACCCAAGCTCCACCAAAAAAGGCATTACCCCCTTTGTGCCTGGGTCACAGCTAACATGATCCAACAAAGAAGTCTGGAAAGGAGGTCAAGAGGCTACTCACCAGTCATTCACAGCTCTGGAGCATACACAGAAATGTCTACCTTGGGACAAGCCCCTAAAGAAAAGCACTATAAGAGTGTGTTTGCCTATTTAAGGACAAATGTAAGCAAAAAAGTAACTGATATTCCCAGTCTAGTCTACTGAGAAAATCCTCTCCCCACCACCACACTTCTTTGGAAGAGGCGCTCCTTCCTCACTCTACAGCCAATGCTTCAGATGGAAACTGACCTCCTCCTCCATGACACTCTAAAAGGCCTTGAGGAAGCACTCTCCCTCCTCCAGCTTCCCATTATCCTCACTTGAGAAAGACAAACGCATCTGGAGCCATAATCATCACAGGTGGGTCTAGCAGCTGAGATAATTCTAGAGAGAATGTGACTCTCATTTCTAAGTAAGGGACCAGCATACTGGATGCCAGCTTCAAATTAGCCACTGTTTCTCTCTGTGTAAGGTGGGGTAGTGTAGACAGAGTCCAGAGAAATTGGTATCCCTATAGATTCACTGCCACCTTAAGGCTGTCATCACATGGCCGGGGGGTGAAACAGCTGGGGAAAGGAAGAAGAGGTGCAGCTAGGACAGTCTCTTGGACACATGGACCAACTTATGAATCAAGACACAGACAATATCTACACGCGCATGCACAGGCACACATACACACACATGCACACTCACACATAAGGATTGTACTCAGAACAGAATCCTATGTGCAGCCTCAGGGGCAACCCTGAGTTTCTGCTCAGTTAAGCCTGGCAACATTCAAAAAAAGCCTGGTAGGCAGGGGAATAACTTGCAAAGGTCATAGAAATTTATTACATGTGAATCTGATAACCAAACAGCCTGTAAAACAATAACAAAACATAGAAAATCTCAGGCCCCTACAGATCTTGCCTATCACTGCTAACAACAAGTCTAACAGAAGTGAGAGGAAGATTCAGAAGCTGAAATCCTGGCTGAGGCCGAGGACCCAGTTCGTCTGGAAGCTGCAGCTGGATACCCATGAGGTGCTTTGGATACCCATCTGTCCCAAAGGAACAGGGTCCAAAAAACTCTTAATAGTCTCCAAAGAAACTTTAAATTTCATTCTGACTCAAGACATTCCTGTTTTTATAAAACTTTATGCTGGCCAATGAGGAACTCTTTTGGAATGGACTCCAAGCAGGATGGCCTCAAAGTAAAAACTACGCTAGTTCTAAAGAGTCACCTGGTTTGTTCCAATTACAGTCTGGCTCAAAAATCTAGGCTGGCTTTCCAGTATGTGGCAGGCTCGGGCCACTAATCTTTATGTCTGGGCATAAAGATCAGACAGGTTACACATTGTTTCATCTGATAGAAGGGAAAGAAAAACAAGTTGAGGCATAATTTAATACTGTTCTTGACCATTTATTGATCATCAGCCAGCAACTCAAAGGCAGAAATAATTTATGAGCTAAGTTGTAAGAACTCCGTATTGACTAAATCATGTAATGCTTCTTCAGGGTCTTGAACAAAATAAGACCTTGGTAATAAGAGTGGGCTCAGAAGAATGGCAGACCAACAATGCAAATCACTACTTTAAATGGTAGGAAACAGAGCCGTGTCCTAGTCTCTTCTCCCACACACACAGTTTAACTTAGCCACCTGGGGGTCAACTTTGGATGAAGTAGACCTTCGACCTCCTGCCATAGTAAGAGAAAAGTCTGCACAGAAACCTTTGTAGCTAATTCATTTCAGAGCTCCAGGGTCAGGGGGAAAAAACCCTTTCCTACCTATGTTATCCATCATGTTTTCATTAAGAACTTATTTTTTCTTTTTTTTTTTTTAAACATTTTTACTAATTTCAGGGAGGAAGGAAGAGAGAAAGATAGAAACATCCATGATGAGAGAGAATCACTGGCTGCCTTCTGCATGCTCCTCACTGGGGATTTAGCCCACAACCCAGGCATGTGCCCTTGATTGGAATCGAACCTGGGATCCTTTAGTCCGAAGGTTGACGCACTATCTGAGCAAAAGGAGCTAGGGCTCATTAAAAATTTAAAGCTTATAAACTTAAATCTAAATTTGTGATTCAATCCCAGTTTCCTCAGTCAGAGGATTCTTCTTTCCCTTAACTTAGTGGTCAGGAAGCTTTTTCTGTAAACAATCAGAGAGCAAATATTTTAGGCTTTGAGGGCCACATGGTCTCTTTCACAAACTTTCTCATTAGCACAAAAGCAGCCATAGACAACACTTATACAAATAAACACGCCTGTGTCCCAATAAAACTTAATTTACTAACACCGAAATGTGAATTTCACACAATCATCAAATCACAAAATTCTGAAAAACAATTCTTAGCTTGCAACCATATAAAAATAGGCAGCGGGCCACATTTGGCCTGCAGGCTGACAGTTTGTCCACTCTTGCTTAAAAGGCTCAATATTGTTTTGATTTATGATAAGTAGTTTTTGTCTTCCTGACCCAATGCTTAATAGTATTTATAGTGGAAACCTTTTTTTCGAATTTGCCTGTTTTCGGCATCCATTCCTCCTCCCCATCTTCCAGTAGGAGAAGTCCTCTTTTTCATTTGAGTTGTGCCCCTCCCAACAGCAAGTGTTTCAGTTAGGATGTCAACTAGGCCCCATCTATTCAGCCAATGAGGTGGGTTTATAACCTAGGACAGCCAGCCAAACTACTTTAGTCCCCTGACACAATGATTGGCCCATGAGTGGGGCAGGACTCCAATCAGAGCCAATCAGTGGTCAAGCACTCATCTGGATGATGGGAGGGCGAGGGCTCTTTTTTCAAATTCTCATCCAAGCATAAAGATATTTGAAATGTAGGTGTGGACTGGGGGCAGCTGCTGTTTTGTTTGAGTGACCCACCTTCCCAACCTGAGTAGCCCTGGTCCCTGTCCTACCAAAGTCTATGGTTCAGCTTTTCAAAGGTTTCTCTGAGCTTTCCCAAGATCGTTCCAATGAGTAAGTTCTGAGAAGCTTAAACTAAGTTAGGCTGGTTTCTGTTGCTGGTAATCATAAAAAGCTATACCGACTGTTAAACAGCAGCTAATGTTTATTAAGTGTCTACTATGTGTCAAGCACTACTTGAAGTACTTTGTAGGCATTATTTCAAACTAGAGGCCCGGTGCACAAAATTCGTGTGGGGGTTGGTGGGGTGGATGGGAGGGTATCAATCAGCCCAGCTTTCAATTTGGGAAACTTTCCAATCTGGGATCCCACAAGGGATGTCACATATGTTTTTTGTCTCTTTCACTAGGCATCATTCTTTTAAGATTCATCCATATTGTTCCATGTATCAATGGTTTATTCTTTTTATTGCTAAGTAGTATCCTCTTTATGGATATAACACAATTCATTTATCCATTCAACCACTGATGGACATTTGGGTTGTTTCTAGTTTCTGGCTATTACAAATAAAACTAATATGAATATTCATGTACACATCCTTGATTGGACATACACTTTTGTTTGTTTTAAAATAAATTTTTATTGATTTCAGAGGGAGGAAGGGAGAGGAAGAGATAGAAATGATGAGAGAGAATCATCAATCATCTGCCTCCTGCACACCTCCCAGGGCACCCAGGCATATGCCCTGACTGGGAATCAAACCGTGACTTCTTGGATCATAGGTCAATGCTCAACCACTGAGCCACACCAGCTAGATTACTTTCACTTCTTTAGGGTAAATCCTGGAAATGAGATAGCTGAATGTATAGTAGGTACATGCTTAACATTTATGAAACTGATAAGCTGTTTTCCAACATAACTGTACCATTTTACATTCCTACCCAGCAGTATCTAAGATTTCCAACTACTCCACATCCTCAATAACATATAGTCATCAGTGTCGTTAGAACCTAAGTGTTTTGAAATGTAATTAAAACCACAATCTCATTGCAGTCAAACTCAGATCTAGTCATGGCTTTGGGCCTATACACAATCTAATCCAGCAAGCAGTCAATGACACTGGGGGCTGGGTAACTAAATTCTAGCAGTCTCTGTGATGAGCATGCTGCCCTTTATGCCCGTTACAGCTTCAGGTTACAGATGTACAACAGACCAAGAAGAGTGTGAAACTAGCTGTCCCAGCAATCAAGCTAAATAGCCAAAGACTTGTAATAAAAATTAAAAATATTATTAAATGGCCTTTACTACATCAAAACACAAGAGGATGCAACAACTTTTAGATTTCAGCTAAAAATTTAAAAATAACAACTAGCAAGTAAGTTCTTACCTCTATGCATAATCTTGTGTTTCTCCCTCAGATATGTCAGGCCTTTTATTACCTAGAGGAAAGAGAATGTGAAAAAAATAGGAAATTGTGGTGTTTAGAAAATACTCAATATCTCTATTTTAAAATGACCAAGAAAATATTTTATCTAACATCACAAATTTGCCTCCTCTTATTTTTTATTCTTTCGTTTTTTTCAACCTGCCTTATCAAGAAACTATCTTTTTACATGGCATATAGAGTATTATTTTTAAGTAAAATTGATTATTGCAAGTTTAAACATTAAAAACCACTTTACTTGGCCCAGCCAGTGTTGTTCAGAGGTTAAGCATCCACCTATGAACCAGAAGGTCACAGTTCCATTCTAGTCAGGGCACACAACTAAGTTGTGGGTTCAATCCCCAGTGGGGGACATGCAGGAAGCAGTTGATCAATGACTCTCTCTCAACACTGATGTTTTTGTCTCTCCCTCCCTCTCCCTTCCTCTCTAAAATAAATAAAAAATATTTTTATTTTATTTTTAAAAAATATATTTTATTGATTTTCCACAGAGAGGAAGGGAGAGGGATAGAGAGCTAGAAACGACGATGAGAGAGAAACATTGACCAGCTGCCTCCTGCACTTGCACACCCCGTACCAGGGATGTGCCCGCAATCAATGTACATGCCCTTAACCAGAATCAAACCTGGGACCTTTCAGTCCCCAGACCGACGCTCTATCCACTGAGCCAAATCGGTTTTGGCAAAAATATATTTATTTTTAAAAATCACTTTATTTAAATTCATTTCTTTCTAAATCGACAATGAAAAGGAGGCTTTCTGATGCCACAAATGAGAATTCTTTTGGATACCTTATCGTATTTTCCAAGACATAGATTTTTTTCACATGAGTCACTTTTCTAATTTAATTTGAAAGAGAGAACTGCATAGGGAATATTCCAATGAGTAAACCCCATTTTCTTACAAACTCTACCTTGTTGACTTCCTAGCTTCCTCCCTTGTCTATTTCCTACCAAGTCAATGAGGGGACTTGAAAGAAAAAGTTCACAATATACTCACAGCAATGCTAACTTTTCCTAAAATTTGTTCAGGAATTCTTCCAGCTTTCTTCAGGACTTGATCCAAGGAACCCCCATCCTAAGAAAAAGAATACCAACCCATTTAGTGGTAATATTTCTGACTATTCATTCAAGTGTTAAACTTCATGAGGAAAATGAATCACATACATGGCAAATCTTCCTAGAAAGATACCCTTTGGTTTGTTCCAAATATCAAATATTATATGAATGCAAAACATTGGGGTTATCAAATAAAGCTACTCAAATCCGTAATTATTAAATTACTAATTCAGTAGTCAAAAAAAAAATGAATTGGTTTGCACTGTACTGACATTATAGTGCAATCTCTAAAGGCAAATTGTCTAAATCTGAATCCCAACTCTGCTGCTTACTATCTAGGGGACTTTGACCACCAAGTTAAGCAATTTATCAAATGGGGTAATCATAATTATAAGGCTATTATAATAATCATAGAGATATTGTAAGTATTAAAGAAGCTAATCATAGAAAGATGAACAAAAATGTCTAGCATACAGTAAGTGCTCGATGTTAGTCATTTTATCACCATCATATAAGTTACAACTTGTATTTGGTATTATCCTAACAAATCATAATTAATGAAAATGTTTAAAATGTCAGAAATCAATACATTCATTCCACAAATCCTATCAAGTGCTAAGGGCTATGTCAGGTTCTATGGCAGACAGAGATATGAAAAGAACCTAGTTTCTGCCTTCAATAACTTTACAAACTAACATGGAAAAATGCATCTCTTAATAAAATATAAAAAAATAAATGTATAGAAAAGTATTGTGGATGTGCAGAAGAAGGGAAAAGTAATTCTGCCGAAACCGGTTTGGCTCAGTGGTAAAGCGTCGGTCTGCGGACTGAAAGGTCCCAGGCTCGATTCCGGTCAAGGGCATGTACGTTGGTTGTGGGCATATCCCTGGTAGGGGGTGTGCAAGAGGCAGCTGGTCGATGTTTCTCTCTCATCGATGTTTCTAGCTCTCTATCTCTCTCCCTTCCTCCTCTCTGTAAAATATCAATAACATATATTAAAAAAAAAAAAAAAAAGAAAGAAAGAAAAAGTAATTCTGACTTAAAAATGGTATTTGAAATGGTAATGAAACCTTACTCAAAGAATGAATATGATTTTCACACCTGGGACAGGAGAGGAGCAAGGGGAGAAAAGAACAATGTATTTCACTAAAACCAAAAGCACAAAAGAATTAAATTACATAGAATGACAAATGGTTCATTTCACTGTGGATCCATGATGAAATGTAGTGATGGATCAGAATGGAAATGGCCATCTGTGGCCAGATCACAGAGCCCCATCAAGGAACCAAGAGTTGGCTTTATGGAGGCAGAAGGATGGGAATCCCACCAGAGTATTTTAAGATGGAAAAAACTGCATCTCTTTCCCCACTCCCTTCCACTTTCTCTAAAAATCAATGGGAAAAATATCCTCACTCCTTGGGTGAGGATAAAAAAGAAAGAAAATAGTACAGGTGTAAATTCTCAAAAGCACACTAACCACTCTGAATATATTTCACTTCTAGTCATAATAAACTCCCTAGCACAGCTACCTAATGGTGGATCGGGTCAGTCCACCAAAGAGCGTGATAGAAGATTGTGAAATTCAACCTAAAACATCAAACATGCCATAATCTCCACACGGATACAAGAATGGAATTATGAATCTAGGACCAAACAGAACTCCCCAGTAAACATGCTTATTTTCCAAGGACCCTTGGAGGAGCCCTACTCAGGGAAAGGTGGGAGTCATTCTGTGAGCCTGGCTGCCTTCATAATGCCACAGGCTCCTGGTGTCCAAATCAAGACAACACAAATAGCCCGAGTAACCACTCCCAAGTCAGCTGGCACCACAGATTTCCTTTACTGATGGGAAGAGGAATCCCAATGCAGGAAGTTTCCCAGCCATTTCTATTTTGCTTCCACTGAATGTGGTTTCAGATCCTCTGTTTGAATGGCTCTGCCTAATTCTCAGGGAAGACTTAAAGTCACAAGACAGCTCTGTCAAAATCTGATGTGAATAAAGCAGAAAAGCTAGCCCTGGCCAGTTTGGCGCAGTGAATAGAGTGTCAGCCTGTGGACTGAAAGGTCCCAGGTTCAATTCCAGTCGGGTACATGCTTGGGTTACGAATTCAATCCCTAGTAGGGGACATGCAGGAGGCAGCCAATCAATGATTCCCTCTCATTATTTTTTTAAAATATATTTTATTGTTTTTTTACAGAGAGAAAGGGAGAGAGATAGAGAGCTAGAAACGTCGATGAGAGAGAAACATCAACCAGCTGCCTCCTGCACACTCCCTACCGGGGATGTGCCCGCAACCAACGTACATGCCCCTGACTGGAATCGAACCTGGGACCCTTCAGTCCGCAGATCGACGCTCTACCACTGAGCCAAACTGGTTTCAGCTTCCCTCTCATTATTGATGTTTCTCTCTCTTCTCTCTCTCTCTCTCTCTCTCTCTCTCTCTCTCTCTCTCTCTCTCTCTCTCTCTCTCTCTCCCTTCCCTTCTGAAATTAAAAAAAAAAAAAAAAAAAACAACACACAGAAAAAACAACAAAATAAAAAATCTAACCCTGTGGTGCTCAGGTTCTACAACCTAGCATAGAGGGTAGCTAACTGTCTTGGTTTACACTTTCCCTGGGAGTTGTGGTAAATATTTCTAATAAAAAGGAAATACTGCCTTTCACCTCCATCTGAGCTATAAGCAGAGTTATAGTGTGAACAATGGAATTAGCAAGATTTAAGAAGCATGAAACACAGTCAGGATTACCCAGAATTGCCTGCAACTCACCTCACAACCTTTTAATTCTGCTTCACTGTTGCCAAGGACTTGCCTTCACTGACTAAAGCTGTGGAAACTGTGCTTATTTTTAGAAGCTGATTATTAACCAAGCCAATGGTGCTTTTGTGAAGCTTTTCTATAGAAGAGATAAATGATTTATTGGGGGGGGGGGGAGCGCAAAAGCTTTGCTATTGCATGAGAACCATCAACCCTGAGTCCCCAGTCCCCAGCTACCAGCAGAGCAGAAATCTACTTCCCCAAAGACAAGAGCATTCCTATTTTGATCAAGGAGCACTCATTTACCCCTGGGGTATCAGAATTCAGATGGGGCAGTGCCCACACAGCTTATCTCTAAGAAAGGCAGACCCTGGCCAAGGGCTTTGGAAATGAAAGATTCCAGAATGAGGAAGCCTCAAAGCAGGTCAATTTAAGGTAAACTGAACAGATTGTCTGTCCTCTACATGGCGAGAGACCATGTAAAGCTATTACAAGAAGTTCCAGCAAGGTCTGAATAAATGGACAGGCCACTGCCTATCAATATTTGAACCTAATCCTAACCTCTAAAGCAAGCACCCTGAAGTTCACCATGCTCACTTCACAAATAGCCTCCCGTTGTCCCTATTAAAGGGAGAATTCTGGGTGGAAGATTTGGAGGAAAGAATTTCTGATGGATCAATTTTGGAGGAAACAATTTCATGATGAAATGACAATACCTGATGTTCAAAAAACCCCATGTCCACACTGACACTCCTCACGTGAGCAGCAGTGAGGAGTATCAGTGTGGGGCAGCTCCAGGGGCAGAGATGCTACTCTCAATGTCTCTTCCTCTCAGCTCATGTGGCAGGCACCTTGCTCATAACTGGCACTATAATAATTGTGAGGCTGAACCTATGTTAATTAACTAATGTAAATCCTTTACAGGCTGTAAGTGCCAAAAACCATAGAAACACAGAATGTTATGATGGGGTAATAATGGCCATTTTACAGATGAAAAAACTGAGAATCAAAAAGATAAAGAAATTTGGCCAAGGGTCATGATGAAACAGTGACAACCAATAAACAAATAATTGCTGAGCCCCTGCTGTGTGCCAGGACTACTCTGGGCTTTAGAGACACAGTGGAAAACAAAACAAACTGTCTATTTGGATTATTGTGTTGAAGTCTCCTGTGCCATACTGACTAATAGGGACAGAAGAAAATAGCAACCATGAAACCCGCCTCTCTTTGAAGTTCTAAGCAGCAAGAAGGAAACAGAGCTCCAATCACTTTCCAGTAGATTCCTCAATGCACAGGCCCTGAGGCCAGACTGCATCGGTTTAAATTCTACCAGTAACACTTACTAGCTGCATGACCTTAGGTAAATTATTCCATTTCTCTGAGCTTGTTTCCTCGTTTGTAACATGCACACAATAAGATTGTTGTGAAAATGTAATAAAATATTAATTTGCTTAGGGTAGTGCTTGATATAGCATTCCCAATAAAAATTAGTTTATCATTAGTGTTGTTAACACTATTATTGTTTTTGTTAGTCAGTGGGAAGAGAAAAAGGTCCAGGCTGCTAGTGGTAAGAAAAATTGGCAGTACACAAACATCTGATTAGCTCATAAACGCCTGCTCACATGCTCTGTCGTGTATCAGGTGGGATTACCTCTCTACATGTCCAAAGATCCATTAAAGCAGATTATAAACTCTCAGGCTGCCATTAAAACAGATTATAATCTCTCTGCGAGCAGGGACTGTTTTATTCATCTTCATAACCCCATTACCTCTCAGACTAAATATTAGACCAAAGCTACCCAACTCCCAGGCTTCAGAGACCAACAGGTGATCACATACCATATGCTCCATGCAGATGCTGATCTCTCCATCGCTGTAGAATGCACCATAGAAGCCCACAATGTATGGGGAGTTACACTCATGTAGAACCTGCAGCTCCCTTATTATCTGGTTCCGGATCGCAGGTTTGATCTCAAGGTGAATTAGCTAGGGAAAGAAAGGTGGGAGGAAGAGAGGGTTTAAAAATATACAAATGAATGAATGGGTGGATGCAACTTTCTTAAATGCTTAAGCTCTTCAAGGTAGGAAAGAGCAAACAGGCAAGTTTTAACAAAAAAGTTTCCTCCCAACGAAAGCAATGAGTGCCAACATATCAAGGCAGATGTTAGCACTTGAGGACCTGTAACGAGGGGAGGGCCAGCTGTGCCTCTGCTCCTAGGAGCCAAAACTGAGAAAGAAGGACTCACCCTCCCATGAACGGAAGTTGAAGGACAGGTTTCCCCAAAAATGACCCGTGAAGCTAAGAGATGGAAGGAAAATGGCCTTGGTTGATTCTCAAGGGTTGTAGAAGTAGAAAGAAATGAGAAACTGGGTATGTGACCTAAGCTGCCCAAGAGATTTCTCGTTGACCTCAGGAGCCCAATGTGGTTGAGATTTAATCAAGTCCTCAGGTGCCACCTTATATCCCCCTAATTTGTCCGTTTCAGCCAGGGAGACAGAAACATGAAATGGTTTCCGAATAAGGCTGAACGTCTAAAAAGAGCCACAGACAAGGAGTGCCAGAGGACATGGAAGTAGTGGTTATCAGTGAGCTGCAGCAGCTAGTACAAGCTAAACAAGAGGTGGACCTCGAAGATACAGACTTTTTGAAATGATGAATAGCACAAGCAAACATATATAGACAGGAAGGACCACGTGCTAAAAACATGAAGGGGCCAACTGCACTGGAACAAGGGGCTGTGTTCAGAAAGAGAAGGACCCAGGGTAGACAGGAAGGGAAGGCTGCATGCCATATGGTGGGGAGCAGAAATGTTACACTGAAAGGAAATGAGCTGAAGAAAGGGGAAACAACTCAAAGTGAGTGCTTTGTACATCACTGGGACTGGGTAAATGAAAGCAGCTTCTCCTGCACTTGATAAATAGCAAACACAAAGGACCCCTTGCTATTATTTCCCAGTCTGGGATGGAATACACTAACATATCATTCATGTGTTTACCTATAATTCAAATAGCACAAAAAGTACTGAGTGAAAAGTCAGTCTTCCTTCTACCCTTGTCTCAGGGCCCAGGGCCCAGGTCCTCAGGTCCTCAGGTCTTCTAAGAGAAAAATCAATTGCATGTTTACCTAGCAAGCTTGATTCAGTCATTTCTTTCTTTTTTTAAAGGCAGCCTCACCTTTCTGGCCATAACCAGGCCGGATGGCTGGTGGGAGACCTTGAACACCACACCACCATTGCCAGCACCCAGCTCACTGATCTTCTCAAAGTCATCATCCTTCAGTTCCCCCACCTTCTGCTTCTGGGTAAGAAAGGCCTCAAGGCGCTTCCGCTGCTGCTCATCGAGCTCCAGCTCCTCCAGCTTCTTCTGCAAAGCCTCCAGGTTGGTCCTGTCACAAAGGGAAGAGCACAGGTCAATACTGTCACCAGAGAAGTAAGTCCACTCAATGGAAGAGGCTGGGGGGAAGGTTCCATCACTGTGCCTCTGCCCTCTTCACTCTGCCACCCTACACAATTTACCACTGACAAGGCCTCAGTTTCCTCATTTGTAAACAAGAGAATTAGGTCTCTTTCAATATGCTGTGAGTCTGCAAGAGGAACCAAGGAAACTATTAAACTGAAGGTGACTCCAGAATGAGCCATCTTAATTTGCTTCATAAGCCCAATTTCAAAAGCCCTACTAGTGTTGGTTGTATTAAATTGACACCATGTACAAAGTAAAATCTATTTCCTAAAATCACTAAACTGAAATCAAACCAAATCATCAAAAAGAGGCTCTAAACTTAACCAAAACAGTAGACATTCTCTTTTCCAATGGGATCAAGTCAGAAACCAGATTAATCAAAATAAAGCAAGAAATCATAAAAAGATATACCTAAAATTTGTTATTTTTGCATAATATATATAAATATATGTTCACTCACACACCTTTTTTAAAAATATTTTTTATTGATTTTTTACAGAGAGGCAGGGAGAGGGATAGAGTTAGAAACATTGATCAGCTACATCCTGCACACCACCTACTGGGGATATGCCTGCAACTAAGGTACATGCTCTTGATGGGAATCAAACCTGGGACCCTTCAGTCCACAGGCTGATGCTCTATCCACTGAGCCAAACCAGTATTGACCATTCACATATCTTTTAACATAGGACAAGGCCCTCTCTTTGAGTAAGAGTCTGACATCTTTCTCACTGAAGCAGAACAATATCTATCATTTCCAATTCCTGGTTCTTTAAAATGAAATAAAAATGCAGACCCAGAGTAATATCAGAATAAAATTCCAAGTTTTATGATTTCCCCAATCTTAATGCTCATCTAATTGGAGAGTAGTAATGTTTTTAGTGACTTGAACTTAAGTCTTTCCATAGCTTTTAACTAGTGTACACAGGAGGGGGGAAAAGAAAGAAAACCATCTCCTTTGCAGCCACATTGCATCAGTTTTTCCAATATTTAAATATATTACTTAATTATAAATATCAGCTAACACTGTACAAATGCTTTGGGAACAAACTGACTTTTGGTAAGCATATAATTCAACCAGTGGGTGCTGAAATGAGTGGGCAAGGCAGAGAGCAGCCTGCTAGCTGTGCAATCAGCATGCTGTGGGCATCACTGTTTTACAGAGAGAACTGAAAAATGTTCATTACTCCTGGGAGTTCGATAAAAGGGTGGTGAGAAGGGTGGTAAAGAGAGCTTCCACTGTTTCATTTTATTTCAGTCCTAGTCTAAACAAACATCATAGGAGACAAGACAGGCCATCATCACACACCAGAATGTTTGTGTGCCCACATCCCCCTCACACACACACACACACACACACACACTCACTCACTCACACTCAGAGACACACCATTTCTGAGCTTGGAGGATAGAAGCAAGCATCATTTCCTTTCTTTATTCACACTCTATTCCAATCCTCAAGAAGGGAGGAAGATGGAGACCTACTGCCTCCCCAGTGTATGGAAAGGATCCAACATGGCCTTACAAATAACACAGCACATGGAGCCAAAGAGGACACAGGCTGAACTTACCAATTTTCCTCACTGGGAAACTCTGGGGAGAGGAAAGCTAATGACTGAATTATGTCCCTCCTCCAATTCATATGTTGAAACCCTAATCCCTGAATATACCTATGTTTAGAGATGGGACTTTTAGGAGGTAATTAAGATTAAATAAGGTTATATACTATTAAGTGGAGTCATAATCAGACAGAATTGGTGGCCTTACACTCTTGCACACGTTGGCACTCTTATCTTAGAATTCAAGCCTCCAGAACTGTAAGAAAACAAATTTGTTGTTTAAGCCACCCATTCTGTAGCATTTTATTATGAAGCCCAAGCAGCCAAGGACAGCTGATCAATGTTCTCATCCTACTAAAAGGCTCAGCCGAGTCTCAGCTGCCCCAGGTCCTCAGGTAGGATTTGGGACAGTGTGACTGGAATGCACTGTGCACACCCTCTCTTCCCTTTCTTTCAGGTCTCTCCACAAAGGAACCCACTGATGACGACATCTAGAAACACGTGTCAAATGCTGACACCATACCTAAAACTTAGTTGCAGTTACAGTTTCCCAGAGGCCTCAACCAAAAGAAATGCAATTCCAAAAGGTATTGTCAAACACACATCCACTGAATGGATATGGGGGGGAGTGGGGAGAAGGGCTGTGTATTCTTCTGTTTTATATGCATCCATGCATTTAATCCACAGCCCTAACATTACAATACATAGCACACTCAAGCACAGGCAGGTGAAGTAACTTGTCCAAAGTCACAAAGAGAGTAAGGGGCAGAGCCAGGATTCAAACCTGGGCAGAAAGAATCTCTAACCTTAACCATGATGCTGTATAACCTCTTCAAAATAGTCAATATACTTTCAAGAGAGGCAACTTCAAACATAGGTATGTTTCTAGTGTAGGCATTTGACACCAGGCTCAATTATTATAGATATGAAGATGGTTTCCCTACATGAAGAACCCATTGCCCCAGATGCAATCCTGTTTCCCCTGCACATCAATCCTAACATTGCCTTGCAAGTAACACGGGCCACAGGAATTTCCACCTGTATGGATGTAGTTGTGAACAAAACTAACTCCATCTCTGTGTCCTGGATTCAATTTCATATTTTTGTTTCATGTGACCTTTGACCAACCTCACTGTCCTTAGTAAAGCATATCAAAGATTGATTCTCTGTATTCCTTAAAATGTAGCCATAAATATTTTCATTAGTAAGAGCCAGAGTGGCATTGAAATGGGGCAAAAATAGAATGTTGGGGAACCAGCTAGTATTCTAAGAAATATTAATCATGCTGTTAATGATTGTTTTATTCTGATTAAAGAAGGCACATTCCACCCTGGCTGGACCTGACCTGGAGATGCAATCCTTTCTCCCCATTTGGAGCTGCCTATTATAAAAATAAAAATAAAAATTAGCAAAGATTTATTACAGAACCAGAATTGCCAGCCCTTTGAAGATCCCCAGCCCTTTTTACATACCTGCAGGCCTTTGCAGATCTCCAGCCTGCTCACCTGTTAATTGCCTATGTGGCACTCCTTTTGGCTCTTTACCCTTGTAACTCCAGCCCTTGCATATCACTAAGCCCTTTGAAGACCTCTAACCTTTTGCATATCTGTAAACTGTCCTTTTGTGTATTTTCCTTTGTACTTATCCCTATATAAGCAGCTGACTTATGGTGGGCTGCAGAGCAGATTTTGGTGGATAACCTGCTGCTTTCCCATGCTGCCGGCAATATTGGAACAACCGCTCAGATATTATTCAACCCTCTCTCTGCTTAATTGGCAGCACAGACTCATTGTTTGCCCAGTTACAGCATGACACCTGGGATAAATAACAAAACTGGCAATAGTATCTTCTAATAAAAGGGTAATATGATGCTAATTAGACCAGATGTCTTCTGAATGTCATTCTGGAGGTCCTTCCTGAGGAAGCCGGGGCCAGAGGGGAGCCAGCCCAGGTCCCGGGTGCCTGCCAGAGGAATAAAGGACTACTCTTGCACAAATTTCTGTGCATCAGGCCTCCAGTCAATTATAAACAATCATCTATCATAAGCCCACCAGGAGGGATGGCCCCTGGTATTACCACATTCTTTGTCCCTTTGTCTTGTCAATCATCAGAGTTATGCTATCAAAAAACTATTGTTGCTCTTTCTTTCCAACTTGCTGGGCACGATGGCTCCTGCAAAGAAGGGTGGCAGAAGAAGAAGGGCTGCTCCACCATCAATGAGGTGGTGACCAGGGAGCATACCATCAACACCCACAAGTGTACCCACTGCGTGGGCTTTAAGAAGTATGACCTTCAGGCACTCCAGGAGACCCTGAAATTTGCCCCGAAAAGATGGGAACTCCAGACATGAGGATTTATACCGGGCTGAACAAAGCTGTCTGGGCCAAAGGAATAAGGAATGTCCCGTATCATATCTGGGTACGTTTATCGAGAAATTGTAATGAAGATTCACTAAACACGCTCTATACATTGGTCACCTACGTGCCTGTCATTACTTTCAAAAACCTACAGATAGTTAATGTGGATGAGAACTAACTGCCAATTATCCAATGAAGTTATAAAACTGCCAAAAAAAAAAAAAAAAAAAAAAAAAAAAAGGATATTGTAACTGGGGTCTGTTAGGGGAGAATAATCTGCACTCTGACCCAATCTTCCTGTAAGTAAATTACCCTATCATAAATTCTGTCACATTCTATGGAGTTGCCTGCTTTTTTTTGTCAATCTTAAGATACCTTCTCATTACAGTGGTCATTACACCTTTTGTCCCACTGTGGGACATCACCCACGCAGTTTTAAAAGAAGGGGGGAGGGGGGGGCTGACAGTTCATTTATCCAATTCTCTGTAGAAATAAGTAATTCTCCCACCTTCAGGAAAAGAAAACTAAATCTGGGCATTGTGCCACCTTCCTCCCTCTCCTACCTCCTATGCTGAACTGTCTAACCACCTATCCTTCCAATAAGGAGCTGACTCCTGCTTTATGCTTTCAAAAGGTGAAGCACAGGAGAGACACGCAAAGACTATTGTAAGCTGTGGTGACAAGGCCCTCCTAATGACCAGGGGTGGGATAGTAATGCCAGATAAACAAGTCATTAGTAATCTGGAATCCTATAAAATAGAGGAACAACTCTATGCTGACATCAGCAGCAGAGCATCAAACAGAAAACTAATGAGAAGAAACACTGGAGTTTTAACACATTTCTACACTAATGTTAGGATAGGTGGGGGTAGGTTGGAGGATAAGGAACAGGAACCAAGGAAGCAATAGCAGGATCTAGAAATACTGCTTTCCTTAATAATTCTTAAAACCCTCTAGAAGTCTTTAAAAACTGTTTCATAGAGTGAAAGACAAGTTTTCTGAAGGTGAAA